AGTGTCTCTCCAAATGATATTGCTGACACCTTGTTGCAAAATGAAACAGGACTCATCTTTTTAGGTCCAGTGGATTTGTTCTTGGTTTCATTGCATGAGAACTGTTTTGTGGAATCCACATCACTGGGCATCTGAATTAATGTTAGAGCTACAATGGATGGGTTCACTAGATAACTGGAAGTTTGATCAAGATAGTGAATGCAGAGTAATACTAAACTCTTACTGCCTGGATTGGTTTTAAGTGAAATAAAGGGATTGAATACAAAGTGAAACACAAAATGCACAACCTTTATTATATAATGAAACACATTGTTTATGTACCTGTTCAGAATTTTTAATATACTGGAATGCAATTTTCACCAAGTTCTTTCAACTGCTTATTCTTCCAGATCCTGTTCTTTATTCAGTTGAGATCTCGTACCAGACTGTCAAGTACAAGGATTCCTAGTTTCAAAAAAATCTTCCATTTACTCAGTGTGACACATGCTACCCACTTAATTAGGCTTAAAGGAGGACTGAAAAATAGTACACACTGCCATCACCTATTAAACTGACTAATGAAACAAGAACTAGATTGCATGAGCAAGTCTTGGCTCATACAACTCAGGAGTGAATGTGATTGAAAATGCCAAAGCTGAATTTACAGTTCATCTTTCTGTGGCTGACTAGTCAGAATCTGGAAATATCTGCTTTGTGTTACAATTATAGAGTAATCCCATATATATAAGGTAAGGTATGCCATTGATCAATTATTCCAAGAAACGGGAACTAGTGTCTATGATTGGAACCTGCTATAAGAAGTAACTTCAATGGATAAACTTAGCACAACTTGACTGGATTTATTATGTTTCAAATTAAAGCTATTGAGAAATATAAACATTTTGTAAGTATGCAATACATACTACAGAATAGTGCAATATTCAGTATTTGCATACCACAATTTCAAAAACCGTGATTCATCTCAGAGATGTATCGGAAGTATGAGGGATATTTTGGTTCATTGGAGAAGAGTCGTTGGATGGAAGAAAGCAGAGGGCTGTCATAAATGTAGTTCAATCAAACTGGATTAATGTCACAAGTGGAGTAACTCAAGGCTCAGTGTTAAGATCTTTGCTACTTTTGATGTAAATCAATGAGATAGAGGAATGGACAATAAATTACTTAAATTTGCTGATGATCTTAAAGTCTTGGGTTTTGCTGGTAGTGAGAAGAATGCTGCTGCTTTACAAAAGGATTTATTTAGATCATTTGGTGAGTTGAGTGAATAAATGGCAGATGGCTTTTAATTATAATAAATGCAAGATAATGCATTTGAATTATAAATATAAATAGAACAGAAATAATCTTAACAATGTTAAAATACAAAAAGAATCTTGTTCTGGTTGATGACTCTTAAATCCGCTAAGCAGTGTGCTGTTATCAGTGGTAGGGCAAATAGGATTTTTTGGGTTTATCCATATAAATACTGAATACAAGTTTAAAGAGGTTATAATTTCATTGATATAATGTTCTCTGGACTATATTGCTAAACATATATCTGCTGCATATTTTATCGTAGATTAAATCTGTTCTTTTTAAACTTTTGGTTGTGTCAAAAACTTCACGGTTAATAGCTGATGATTTTTTATAGTAAGAATGCTGTGAATTAACTTTCTGAGACTGTAATACTAATGAATGACTTTGAAACATTTCCAAAATGTCCATAATTAAATGTTTTTTAGTATTACCATACTTCTTATACTTATTACAGAACTTAGTTTTTCACCTGATGATCAGTTGCAACTACTCTGACATGGTATGGATATGATGAGTCACATTTCTCTCATATTCTTAAAAAGCTTGATCTAAAACTTCAGAAGATCTCTTTTGATATTGTTTTTTTTGTTTTTTTAAATGTAAACACCACAAAGTTATTTCAACATTACCACACTTCAAGACAACTAACAAAAATCTCCAAAGATCTTCTACTTATCATTGCTTTCAAAGAAAGCTACAGGTTGCACTGGGTGGATTGGCCCACCAGGACACAGGGCAAATAGCCAGTGGGCCAGTACATTTGATGCATTTTTAGATATGTATTTTTAATTTTAATCGTTTAGCCAGTATGCAGCATATGATATTGCCCAGACTGGTCTTTTAATACCAACCCACCCCCTGACTAGTAGGAAAACTCAAAACAAACTATCTTTGGAAACAAACAGCCAGCAAACTCCCATACTACAGCCAGTATTGAACTTAAATAAGAAAATCTAGTGACATAAATCATGATAAGGTGGTTTTTAATTTTAGCAATCTTAAAGTGAACAATGTAAAAATGTTCTATCAAAAGGCTTAAGTTTCGGTCTACCTACTCATAAACTTAGTTTCTTAAGTTAATTTTTCCTTTTGAATGTACCTACAGAAGTCTTGAATCATATCCTAGTTTTAACAAAAACCACACACTGAACATAGAATTCCCGTGCATTAAGTAATTCGATACTGTAACGTGAACTGCAAATTTGCCATGTGATTTGCCATTTATATACGTGAATAATAGTTAGACATGGTTCAAAGGGCAATAAAACAATAAAATTTAAGTATAAATAGATGTATACTATTACAAGCTTTAAGCTATTTTGGATAACTAATTCTGATTCTTGTGTTACTGTTTGCAGACATTCCAAAAATAAAATAGAGAACATTTATAATTATTTCCTAATTTTTTATGATGGTTATGAGGCGGTCAAATTAACCAATCTCATATATGGTAAATAAAACATCAGATAAAATACCTGAAAAATCAAACAAAACAAAAAACATTTGATATTTGTTTAGGAGATTTTAGGGGTTATGCAAATGATATTTGAAAATTTTCAGATGAAGTAAAGTATTTTAAATCTTGTGAAAATTACTTTGCACTCATAAACAAGAACAACATTCAGTGTAAATTGTAAATAACTTTTTTATCGTACATTAACATGCCCTTTTCTATCTTGCAGAAGGTAAACATGTAGTGTACATCGTAAATAAAGTTTTTTCATCGACATTGAAGTGCTTTTCCCCCATTTTTTTACTTTATTAAATTCTACCTATAGGACCCTTGAAAAAAAAAGTTGAGAATCTGGGAACCTAGTCAGAACCCTGAATGTGTACTTTCTAAACTTCTTTTTTTATACATAAGAAATAACTTTAAGTTTCCACATTAATAATAGAATAGGAAAAAATTACAAAACGTCTATAGTTAGATTTTTTTTATATTACCATGATTTTAACATTTCTTATAATACTTCAATTTTCACTTTATGAATTTTATAATCTTTGCAATGATGACATCTAGTATCAACACAAGTTTTCTTGACAAATAGCAAACATCGTACTGTCTTTTCTAGGATCAGCATAAATGTGTTTTCAATGGATTATATACTATCTGCCTTTACTAGTTTCATCACATGAAATCTGTGGACAATTATTTTTAACAAAGACTTATTTTATTTAGTTTTAGTAGAGTAGTCTCTTGAAAAATTTGTAGGCCTCACCGGTTTATATGGTAACTTCCGAGGGCTACTTGTTAATAAACTTGTCTTTGTTCAATCAAAAATAAAGACAGATGTCATTAAGTTTAATGAGCGGTGTAAGCTACCTATTATTTGGTATTAAATCTAAAATAGCAACAGGTAATTAACATAAAGTTTACCTTATAATTCCATTTACAGACAGACGTATAGATCTAATTAAATTAGAATCTGTAGTCAGAGACACTCCAGTACAACAATTATTACCTAACTCCTGCAAATTTTAAGTACATAACTATTAGCTACTCTTACAACATAGGCACTGGCTGTAGAATCTTTAATTACAGTAAAGTGTTATATAACATAACCATTTAGAAGCTACACAACACATTATCCTCTCAATGCAAATACAATTCATCTTCTTACATTTATTCTCCTGTAGATCACATGCTTACTGGTAACTTTGAAATCTTAACTAATCAAGATTTTGGCCTAGTAATGAAAAAAGGCCCTAAATCCTGGGAATGTCCTAAACAAGTAATAAGTAAATCACTCAATAAAGTTTTACTTAAATCAAGTTAATAAAGAGAATTTAAAAGTAGTCCTATTCAGAAAATGAGTAAATAAAGTTAAAGACATGATCCATAAAAGTGGAACATACTTAAAAAAATTTGATCACTATTAACAATAATGAATATTTTATGAACTTACTGAGTATTTAGATTATTTACATAGTAGATATATCATCACTTCCAGCAGTAAAACAGCTAACAACTTTGTTTTCACTTGTAAAAAGTTTTATATCACAACTTTATGTAAAAACATTTGGGTAATGATGTAGAAAGTATTGCACGTAAACACATAACAGTTTTATCACACTTTGATGTACATAGTGTTAAATCTTGCAATGTGAAACACAATTATTTTGGATTCCAAAACTATATAAAACCTCATACAAATACAGGTTTAATACTATGACCAAGGATTTGTCAGTTCTAACAATTAATGATCTTAAATACATTAAAGAACATTTAAATAAATAATGTCATATTATCAAAGAGTGAACAAGTATTAATCTGTTCATTATCACTGGTAAATTCCATTACACATAAAGCAAAAATTTAAGGCTTTTAGGCTATAACAAGAGAAACATTTGATTTCAGTAATCTTTACAATAGTCTTTCTATTGATAAAAAAAAAGTCATCAACAATTTCAAAGTATTTTAAGAATCATGGTAAACTATTACTCTGCATTAATAAACACAAAAATCACTCATAAAAATTACCACTATTTCACATAAAATAAATTCTTGCAGGCCATGTATTTTTAATCTGACAACACATTAGTGCAAATAAATACTATGATTCCAATGGGTGGTAACTTCAGACCACAAGTTTCAGATTTATATTTATTCAAACAGGAAATTTCATACAAGTCTTAGTAAGAAAGACCATAGTGAAATTTTGCACATTAGTTGCACTTTTATATATATATTGATGGCATTCTTACATCTGATAATCTATTTTTTTTTTTTTTTACATATCCAACTAGATGTATCCATAGAGCTCAATCTAGGAAAAAACTCTTTCAGTAAAAACACAATACACTATCTGGATTTAGATATCATCATCATTAATCAAACATTCAATTTCAAAGTCTTCAATAAAATGGACTTTTTGAAGTTTGAAGTTATAACTTTTCACTTCTAAATAAGTTAGGTTACTACAATGTTTCTTACTCCAGCTTATTGGATACAATATAATTTATCCAACATTATCAGTCTTCTTGAATACAGCTAATAAAACTTCCCGATTTTTCACAAACTAATTTCTTATATAGCATTTAAAACACAAAACACATCCAATTCTATGAAATAATTAAACAATACTCATGCCACTGATTACGGATGTAGAAGTTTAAGAGAATATCACAAGCTTTTTAAAACTTTCACATTTTAATCGTTTAGAAAACTGTGTATGGTAATAGTAAATCATTTTAGCGTACAGACCACCACTGTTTTATCTCCTATTATATATAGTTAATACTAGCTATGACATTAAGTTATTAGTTAAGCTACATGACTTTGTCATATTGTAACTTTTCTTTCTACATATAATTATTATTTAATTTTTTTACTGTGTTTACTTTTTGGCTTTTACAGAAGACTTAACTTTATATATTAATCCTTGTTACCTGCTCCATATGTTTTGTTAAGTGACAGAGGTTAGTTGAAGTATTTGTGTTACACACATTGTGTAGTATGTTTCACATGTTGTTTTATTTTTATTACACTTAACATAGTTATATTTTTATTACAGTTTATTTTTGTTTGCTTGTTTTAGAACAATGCCACATTAGGCTATCTGCTGTGTCCACTGCAGAGAATCGAGCACAAGATTTTAGCATTGTACATCTATAAACTTCCCGCTGTCTCACTGGAGGACTTATATTACAGAACCAATATTCTAGGTAATTACTGTATGATTCAAAAAATTCATTCAATTTCTTATTCATAAACATTAGTTTTTGCCTGTATTCTTGGTAATGTACTTCTACTTGACTCCACAACTAAAACGTAACATGTGTAATGGAAACTTAGTTCAGATGTCACACTCATCTAAAGTTACACTGTTTGAGGGGTTTTCTTTGGTCCCAAGATATTTTTAGGGAGGGTTGTAGAAAGTTGTGCTTATACACAGTTACACTACGTTATGTTGTTCAACAAACTTCAAGTCAATAGCTAGTGCACGTGTGTTCTACAAGTAAGGTGTACTCTATTATTTCTTCACTGTTACTTTCATTAACAGTATTGGTTACAATGTTTAATATATTTAATCTTATTATTTTTAATTTTTCTCATTATACTTTTATTATAGATTGTTTAGCATTGTTGGCTTAATATATATATTTTAAAGACTAATCTAAACCTCTTATGCTGGTCAAACTGGGTGACATATTATTAAATTTACAGCAGAAAATAGTGCTAACAGTGATGGTACCCAACTGGTGAAACATTTACATACTAATATTTATAAGGAAAAACATTAGAAAAGTATATAAATGTAGCTATAATCATTACAACGTTGATTTTTAGTTTTTTTGGAAGTAGGTAGCTTTCTCTGATCACAAGTTAATATTAACCATTTCACAAAAGTCTCCTGCAATTTGCAGGAGCCAGACTGCAGACGGGAGAAGGATACTTGTGCTACAAGATATACGGTATCTCTGAGCCTTCTTAACGTATTTTCACAAAAATGGTAAGATTTTGTTAAAGATTATAAGTACCTTGTACACAAAAAGTGACATTATTTTAACTCAAGTCTTTCCACTAAAAATGTTATCTCTATATTGTAGTTATTTGCACTCAGACTCTGAATAGTTTGAATGTAAGATGATTTTCATTTTAAGTATAAAAATACTTTTCTTCATCTTACAATTTTTTAGTTTTAAATTGAATAACTTCTAGGACTTCCTAAATGAATATCAAATGATTTTTTAAGGTAAATGTTTCATTTTCATTTTCCCTACCATATCACTAACTGTAGATATTATCATCAACATACAGTGCAATGAAATGTTTAAAATTAATATACAGAAAAATGCACATACCTTTTAATTATTTGCAGAATATTATAAAAGATCTTTTGATAATATTTGTAATTTCAGATTTTTTTTCCTTTTCATATATACTTAATTTTTAATGTATTATTTTCCTTTCCTGTACTTTACTGTTTATTATTCATCTTGAGACAGTTCAACAGTACCCTAAGAGCATATTACAGTTTCTTCAGCAAAGATGCACAAGCCTTTGGCAAAATTATTTTACACTCGTGCAAAATCGTAAACCTTGAGAACTGGGGCAATGTTTGAGATAAATCTAAAAAATGTTGAAACCTTTCAATTATGCATTTCAAAACATAAATAATACGTAATTAACTAAGATATAAAAGTTAAACCTAAATGCAATTTAACTGTCTCTCTAACTATAACACACTTAGATAAGAAACAACCATAAATGCTCTTGTGGACAAAGTAGCCAACAATACTACCAGCAGTTACACCTACCAGATGATGACAACCGAGCTTCAATTTCAAAATAACTATTGTTGGATTACAGTATAAAATACACTCTTTCTAATGATTATAATCATGTGAATCAAATAATTATTTGTAGCTTGTAAATCTCAAGGCTATGTATAAAAGTGGGTGTGGCACTTGTCAGGGGTTGGAAAAATTTATCTTTAGTTTCAACTGAACTCGGCCAAAGAACTTTGGAACATACATGTCAATAGGGCAAGTTAATGTACTTATTGTCTAGATATACATCTACAGGACTGGGGTTATTTTATTCAAGATAGAGAGTGTGAAAGTTGAGATTTTTCATAGCTCTTGGGTCACGTGACAACAAAACTGAAGTTTAAGTGTTTTTTTTAAAGATTTCTTTAAAACTTCAAGTTATAACATTACATTATAATGTTAACTTCAGTAACATGCATTGACAGTAAAATTTTTAATTAAATTTTAAATGTAACTCGGTGACTTGCGTAGAAAGGGATTTAAAGGTTGCAAAATGGTTAAATACTTCCCATGAACTTTAACATTGTGTGTAGTAACAAAAGAAAGAATATTTTAAACCTTTAGTACAACATACTTCCTATGAAATCTAAGATTGTGTGTGAAAATTTAAACTGTCATTATGACATACTTCCTGTAAATGTCAGCAAATCTGGTAATTATACAAGTTTTTTACATTGCAATCTTTAATAACTTAAATATATAGTTTTTCAGACAGCAGATTATCCCAACTATCAATCACACATTCATTTTTTCATAATTTCCAATACAGGAATAGTGGACAGAATTTTTTGATTAGAAGTGCATTTGTATTCCTTATTTGAGGTCACATTAATTTAAATGTGATTATATAACCAATAATTAGGAAACTTAATATATGGCAAAAGAAAGATCTACTTGTGAACCCAATGCAGTTTGTTAACTTGTTAAAATATCACATAGACACAATACCACTTAAAACAATGTACTCAAAAATCATTTAATTACCAATTCCATACATGAGGAGTAACAATTTGTGTCATCACTAATAATTCAGAGACATCCAACTTATGATTTCCTGTTACACATCAATACCTTTACTGACAAGGAAAGCTTGCTGGTTGGGATCTCTTCCTAGGAAGTTGTGCAGCATTTCTGCTCCATCCTTCAAATGAAACAATTAACAGTTAGATTTTCCACTGGGAATGTAGAGACACAGTCAAAAGGCAACCTTATGTTTTCTTTACTGTATGATTACAAACTCTGTATTGGATATAAAAATATCCTATAGCAATGTCCAGAGAGCTTATACTAAACTACATAAATCAGATGATTGTCCATTTTGTTTTAGCTGTAAAAGCTAATAGTTCACAGGTAGAGTTTGGTGTGTTTAGTCTAAAGATGTTGCTCCAAGCAATAATGGAACCTTATTTATAGGTTATTTAGAAAAATAAATAAATTATAGTAGTCTTAGGAGATTTTATTATAGTGCCTGATGTATTTTTTTGTATTCTCAAATGCATATTTGTAAGCCACATGAATTATTTTTGGAAAACCAACATAGTGAAAAAAACAAGGTCTTACTAAACAATGTACTTGAGTGCAAAAGGCCTCAATACTAAATTTCTTTATTTTTATGTATATCTGTTATTTATTTTTATATTTTTCAAAAGTAACATATATATATATATATATATAGCATCCCACACAAATGTGGGAAGAAATATATAGGACAAACATCATGTTCTTTGGAAATAAGATGCAAACACCAAGGTCACAGGCATAGAGGTGAGAGGGAAGAGACTACTTAGAAACTAGAGAAATCATCAAAGCAAGCAATCTCTCACAAAACCGTGATAATGACCCAAGCAACATCAACCATATTTGGTTAAATTTATTCACCACTCACACACATAACCAACCATGACCTTTGTATATAATCTTGTTACTTGGTGACATCATTTCCTTTACATTAAACCCGTGTCTTTTGTACTTATATATAAACCCTGTATTGCTTAGTTACAAATAATACCTGAAGAAAACAGACAAATGTTCTGTTGAAACATCTAGTATGTTCCACCATAAATAAATCACTTCATTATACTTATAAATTATTGTTTGCCTACTTATTATTATAAATTAATGGTTATACATGGCATATAAAAGGTTGGTCAAACTGATTGAGTTCATCTCCATAGAGTTAATTGGTCAAACTGACTGAGTTCATCTCCATAGAGTTAATTGCATTTTCAAGGGATAATACTTTTTTAGCAAATAAAAACCTATGCTTTGGGATGAGCAGAAAAATGATTAGAAAAATCTATAAATGTGTTGTTTACAAGTAAGACTCCTCAAAGCTATGCAGAAATGAAAGTTTGAGCATTTTAAAAAAATTTCTTTGCAAATTACACTAAATGAATGCTACAAAATGACAAAATATCACTTCTAAAATATCTTTGAGAAAAACTGTCAAATTATTATTTTTACTTCAATTTTGAAATTATATATGCAGATGAACACTCTACACATAAAAGGTGCTCAAAGATTTAAAAAGGGTTAATTTTTTTAAGCTAGGAACAGTTTTAGCAAACTGCTGTTTTACAGTCATATTAGAGTTGTTTACCGAATACTTACTTGTGTCCCTCCAGGTTGGAGAATTTTCTCTCTGTAGTCTCTACCAGTATCTGGGTTCATTACACCTTCTTTTTTGAAACGAGAGTAAAACATATCCATGCTGAACACTTCACTCCACTATAAAAACAAGCAAAAAAATTAAGAGAAATAAATATTCAACCAACTCTTAAGTACAATTACTTAATACATATAATTGTGTACAGAATCTCATGTACTGTAAAAAATGTTTTCAGTATATTAAACAATGTCAATTAACAATATATCAATTAAATACTTGAACATAATTTGTGATACAGCAAGATACATTGTCCATCATGCCCATTGTTTAAAAATTACCTTAACCCTTACTTTATCAATACTTTCCATTTCAATCTATATATCTATAAATGTTTTTCCATTTTTCCATTATTAAATCTTTACTTCAAATTTTCTACCTTATATTATGTCACCACTTACCATGTAACCATAATACTGAGCATCATAACCACCAGCTAAATGACCAAAATGTGCTGCAAAGTTAGTATTTGGTGATAAGTTAATCCCTAGTAGGTTCAAGTGGATTTCTTCTAGGATTTCTCTTGTGTCAACCTGGCATGAAATAACACAAAATATATTAAAGTGATCCATAATGTTTAACAAGATCTTTGCCAAAAACATTTTGTACTATCATCATAGATTCTTCCAAAACAACGAGCAACAATATCTCTGCATCCATTAATCCTCCACAAAAGTCCAAACTATACTTTTATTTGATTACAACAAATCTTTAATTAGTAAAAAAAAAATGTTCCTCTTTATAAATACACTTTTGGGTTGGAAAATAGTATACAACTTAAGTACATTCAATTTTATTCCCATATCTGGAATAAGCCTTTCTTAGAACAATGAACTTAAGAAAGATTTAAACCATTTTCATATTTTATTGCTGAATTAATTTAACAGAACACATTTGAAGCTTTAAGTAGCAAATAATGCAGCCATCTTGCTTTTAAAGGGTTTCTAAAACTATAAATTATCAACTTATAGATTCAGTCAGATGGATACAACACAGGAAAACACCAACCTATATTATTTGTTTCACTAATGCATCAGTGTTGGTAAAGGGAACCACAACTGGAGGAAAGGAAAGAGGTTCTTCCCATTGCATATTTGAAAAGAGTTCAATCTCTAATCCTTGATCCAGTTAACACTGAACTCTATTTGAGCTATATCTTTGTGTTTGAAATATACATAAAAGATTACTACATTTATTTTTATTCTCTATCCTGAAAATTAAATAAATGATTTATTATATGAAACGGTGATCAAAATATACAAATCTCAAAGAAAAAGAAATAACCATAAAATGATGGTTTTTGACTGTTACTATTGCAAACTTTGATATACACAACTCCAAGACATAACTTGCAAAGTATGCGTGTGTGTGTACATACCAACTGGATATTTTGTGTAAGATGTTTAGGGTACGAGTCACATATGTTTTTCTTATTCCACCCATATTAAGTTATACATTTTCAAAATCATTTACATCTTCTTTTCTTCTTCACTTTCTAAAACCATTTTCTAAATTTGAGCAATTTCTAAAATAGTTTGATTTTCCTATAGATCATGTACAAAATACACCACTGAATATCAACAAACTTCTGAAAGACTGAAAATTTCCAGTCAGGAAAGAGGGTTGTAAATGTTAAGAATCAAATCTTTCATTTTTTTATTATGTTTATATATAAAATTTATTGTTAAACTGAGAAAGTCAGAACAACAGTTCCTGCACTTGTAGAGGGCAAAATTATCTTTCCATTGGTCATAAACATGTCTATAAAAGATGGACAAATGGTAAAGATAAATTGGTCAAAGCTTCAATAAGACAGGAGGCTTATATTCTATATGATGACCTGACAATATCTACAGTTTGAGTTTTTAATTGGTTGGCCTCTCTGACAACCTTAGAATGGAATGGAGAAAACCGAAAATGGGAGAATCAGATGGGAGAAGCATCATGTGACACATAGAAGTCAAGCTTAAGAATTTATTTAAATATTTCCTTTTGAAATAAAGAAATAAAAACTTAAATAATATAAAACTTTGAAGTATAAACTGTTTTTTTTTGTCAAGGTTATTGGTAATAACGTTTTCTAATTAAATTCTGAATGTAACTTTGTAGAAAGGTTGTGATATATGCACTTTGATCCCACCATAAAAATTGGGTTAATGTCACCATTTTTATTTAAATGTTATTTTTGGTTTACATTCTTACTTACTGTAACCAGTTTATGTTTTTAATTAATTTCATTATACATATAAAAATGTTATCACAAATGAATATGGAAGTTGTGTGAAAAATCCTTGACCATTAAATAAAGTGAAACATATATGCTACACTACTATGTATTTATGCATCTTGTGCATAAAATACTGATATTATAGTTAAGAAGTTACAGAAAATCTCTGCACTTTTTTGCTGTTTTTTTTGTGTGCCGAGATTTTCATGTATTTTTCACCTGTTTTGAAAAACTACAGTTGAGAGTACAAGAAATTTATAAATTCCTTATTAATAAATGTTTGTTGTAACTGTAATAAGAATTATGCTACTCAAATTTTTTGCAGGTCATTGTATGAAGCTGAAGATCATATACTGAGCTTTGTTTTATTTGAAAGGTTTTGTTAATATGAGAATAAACTACATAATATGTGTACTGACTTTGTTGAGATTTTCTTTACTTGACTTTCTTGTGATTTTGATCTCACTACCCAAACACAGTAAACTGAAACACAACCACTTCCACATCCAGTTTGTTCTGTTCACACAGAAACTTCAAGACACTTGTACATACCTCAGATGAAAAACAAAATAAAAAATTCAAACAGCTACAAAATTGAGAAGAGTTCCTTACCTTAGGTTTTGTATGAATTGTATGATCAAAAAGACCAAGGAAAATCTGTCTCAAATTACGATAACCAGCATTGGCCAGCCTAGAGTTGATTAGGGATTTTAGCATAGTGTCAGGCAGTGGAGTTTCATCTCGATAATGAGATGACATGCGCCGTAGAGGAACTGGCTCCCAACACCAGTTTTCCAACATTTGTGAAGGAGCTTCTACAAAGTCTCTTTCCACATTTGTCCCACTTATCAACGTTAAAAATATGTGATAGAAAATCAAGATATTAGACACACACAAAAATATAATAATTCTCCAAATTTATCAGATTTCCTTTCTAGGTAAAACATGCTATCTAAGATACTAAAATATGTGATAAAAAATCAAGATATTAGATACATACAAAAATATAATTCTCTAAATATATCAGATTTTCTCTCTAGGTAAAGCATGCTTCTAAGATACTAAAGCAAGGATCAAAATTCATGATGGCATTGGCACAATATGCACTAATGAAATATCTTTTTGTGCCAACAAACCTCATATTCATCAACCTCCAGGTGCAAGGGCTAGTACATATTAACATTTGGGTCAGATTCTGTTCAGAACCTGATCAACATGATCTCCCACAATTGTCCATGTCACTTTCATTTCTTGTTATGCACAAAAAGCAGTGTTGCTGTGTTATATAACTGTTCATAGACACATGATCACCACAGATGTGGCATAAATTGTCAGGCTCTAGACATCCACGTTGTGTTGACTTTTGCAAAAGTCATTGCATCTTCAGTGAGTTCTTATACACTTTTCAGTTTTGCTGCTGCAGAAACATTACGGAAATGTACAAGAATTTCAGATGCACAAGATCCTATGACAACACAAACAATTTATAAAAAAATGGCAGTAAAGGCTTAAAACTAAGGAAAAATTAGTCCCTCTTACAAGAACTGACAAGAAATGGACTAGTGATTTTCCGTGATACAATTTGAAGATTAAAACCATACAGTAGTCAAATTCTGAAATAATTCAAATCACAAAGGCTAAACATAACTTCTAAATGGCTGAAAAACTTGAGAAAGTTACAAACACAAATAGTTGTGTGAAGGGAACTTCTAACATCAGGAGAAACAGTATCAAGTGCTATGGTCAAGTCAATTCTCACATAAAAGCAGAACATCAGCAAGTAGAATGTGCTAAGTTCTACAACAGCCATAGCTTTAGAAAGGAATTTAATGTGACATGTTTGATTGAATGAAGTCATGAAGTAATTTTTAAATTATGTACCCCTATATTGTTTTGTTGATCAATTTCAGTTTATAGTTTAAAATTGATTCCTTTGGAACAAAAAGACATTGTCCCAGGTATAAGAGGAATTGCCCCTCATTAACCAAGATAGTCAGGAGCAATAGATTGTCCTAAGCATTTGCATGTGAATTTTGATCCTTGCTAGAGCACTTTAATTTTTGACTTGCACTACTAACTTACTTGAAATGTGCAAGGTTTGCTTGTGCACAAATTTGATGCATAACATGTCCAAATTCATGGAAAAATGTCACAACCTAAATAGAAAGTAAGGATATAACTTTAATAATAATATAATGGTATGTAGTAATAAATGTTATGTCTAGTACTCATCATTTAGAAATTTTTTATATTATTTTATAAGAAACATGTAAGTAATATAAATCAATTATTATCATCTTATGAATAGAATTAAGAAATCATTATCTTACTTAAAGAAATAAACAGGGAATAACTCTCACAGAAACTAAACAATAAACAAAATGTTAATCATACAAGCTAAATGATACCCAATGTCTTGCTCACAGAAACTAAGCAACAATCACCTTGCTCACAGACACTAAATGACAATCAATATCTTACTCATAGAAACTATACAATAGTCAACATCATATTCATAGAAGCTACACTTACAGATTAATCTTCTTAGTTCCTTTTTTCTATCATTGTTTTGAACTAAAATAATCTACTAATAACTATTTCTGTGTCTAAGCCCTTAACCTTCTTTAAATACACTTATGAATGAATCACCTTTTGTCTTGATGAAAGGGCTTATTTTCTGCTGCTGATTTTTTGAAAAAACACCTAATAACTGTTTGTGTGTTTATACCTTTAACAAGCTTATATAAATTGTTGTATATTATGGTAAATTTAAATGTTTTAGACTTAACTAACTTATTAACACACATGCAAGTTTGAAACATGTACTTGCCTAACATATCTTAAAGTTAAAATATCAACTTTCCATTCTGAACAAGAGATTTAAAAGTGAACCACATTCTCTCACCTCATTATGATCTAACAGAGATGGCTTATTTGCAGTGGGCTTAGTGAAATTAGCTACCATAGCAGCTACTGATATTTGTCTTGAACCATCTGGTAGCAAACACCCAGGCTACAAATAAACATACACCAAATACATTTAGTTGCAGCTTTGTGTCAAAACCTTGTAGTGAATTATCTAAGAGTTAATACAATAGAGCAAACCATATCATGAGAGAAAATTTAATACAAATCATTAAAACATATCACAAATTAATATTAAAAACTCGCTAAACCACATCAAAAGTCAAACTAATTTAACAAATACAACTCAATAAACCACAAGTCAGAACTAATATAAAGATACAACTCATTAAGCCACATCACAAGTCAGAACTAATACACAGGTACAACTCACTAAGCCACATCACAAGTCAGAACTAATACACAGAGAAAACTCAGTAATCCACATCACAAGTCAGAACTAAATCACAGATAAAACTCACTAAGCCACATCACAAGTCAGAACTAATACACAGATAAAACTCACTAAGCCACATCACAAGTCAGAACTAGTACACAGGTATAACTCACTAACTCACATCACAAATCAGAACTAATACACAGATAAAACTCACTAAGCCACATCACAAGTCAGAACTAGTACACAGGTATAACTCACTAAAAGTTCTGACTTGTGATGTGGTTTAGTGAGTTGTATCTTTATATTAGTTCTGACTTGTGGTTTAGTGAGTTGTATCTGTTAAATTAGTTTGATTTGTGATGTGGCTTAGTGAGTTGTACCTGTGTACAAGTTATGACTTGTTATGTGGCTTAGTGAGTTTTATCTGTGTATTAGTTCTGACTTGTGATGTGGTTAGTGAGTTGTATCTGTAAATTAGTTTGATTTGTAATGTGGTTTAGTGAGTTGTATCTGTAAATTAGTTTGATTTGTGATGTGGTTTAGTGAGTTGTATCTGTAAATTAGTTTGATTTGTGATGTGGTTTAGTGAGTTGTATCTGTAAATTAGTTTGATTTGTGATGTGGTTTGGTGAGTTGTATCTGTAAATTAGTTTGATTTGTGATGTGGTTTAGTGAGTTGTATCTGTAAATTAGTTTGATTTGTAATGTGGCTTAGTGAGTTGTATCTGTAAATTAGTTTGATTTGTAATGTGGCTTAGTGAGTTGTATCTGTAAATTAGTTTGATTTGTAATGTGGCTTAGTGAGTTGTATCTGTAAATTAGTTTGATTTGTAATGTGGCTTAGTGAGTTGTATCTGTAAATTAGTTTGATTTGTGATGTGGTTTAGTGAGTTTTATCTGTGTATTGCCACATCAAAAGTCAGAACTAACACACAGATACAACTCACCAAGCCACATCACAAATCAAACTAATTTACAGATACAACTCACTAAGCCATGTCACAGACTTATTTCTGTTTCTTACCTGAAGCTCAAACATTGCAGCATGTCCATATTTTCCTTCTCGTGGAAAAAGATCAAGGAAAAAGTAGCCCAACAGCTGATTTGACTTAGAATCTGACACACTGAACTAAAAAGCAGATCATAAATCACTAAGTTACCAGGAGAACTTCATAAATGACTAAATTTAAATGTTTTATCTGACCTGTTAATCTAAATAGAAATAAAGCTAAATAATGTCAAAGATTTTATTAATAATTCTCATTACAACATTTTGCTCCATATCCTCACAAACACAAATCCTTCTTTTATAAAAAATCCTGAGATGAGATATGAAAAAAGACAGAGGATTTATGAAAGTTGTAAGACTCACCATCTGTACATCAGGGTGCCACACTTTTGCATTCTCCACCAATGAGAACTTTAGACTCAGCAGCTCCTATGGATTATCAAACATTAGAGATTGTTGCTGTCATTAATACACAACATACTACCACTACATAATAAACTATATTTTTATGACAAATACCATCTATAGATAATACATTTCTCTAATTATACTTATGTTACTCTTCATGTGTCAGCACTTGAAATAATAAGGTTTTGGTAAACTAAAAGAAAAACTTAAAATGCAGTATTTATTTTAACATGACTATGGATAATTAAAACTTCATTTTTTTATATACAAATTTAATAAGGAATGCAATATTATGATATTAATAGGACATATGTGAGACATAACTATATTTAGTAAAGATTTTCAAGAAATGCAAAAAAACATTCTATAAGATAGAAAACCTTTAAGGTACTGACACAAAGCTAATGCCTCATGTAAAATATAGACTTAGAAAAGTGCCATTGTTCAAAAGAATATAATTTTAAGTTTCACAGTTTCTGTCTTATAATTCTATTTATATACACCTGATATATATCCAGTAAACCTTTTGTCACAATTGGAAGAGGAAAATATTCTCTTAATTTGTCCTGGTCAACTGAGTATTTTATTTCTTCAATTTTTGTTGTGTAGTACTGCAGGTCCCAAAAATTCAGTTTCTCATCAAACTCAAATCCAAGTTCTTTGCACTAAAACAACAAAAACACAAATGCACCACAAAACATTTTGTTCATCTAAATTTTCTTCAATAATTAATAATTTAAGTTTCAGAAACATTGTGTACTGGTTCCCTGTTGTTTATAAAAAATACAATTATAAAACAAGCACACAAAAATTAATACAAATTTTTAAGCATAAATTTTGTTATTTTCATACCCATCAAACAGTATCTGTACATAAAAACAGTACAAGCTAACAAAAAGCTGATTAATTATAAGATAACACAAGAAAAATCAAAGTCTGTCAAAACACTACGAAGAAAAATTCCACCTTTATGAATTTATATAAAAATAAAGTCAAACACTTGTAAAATATAAAATCCAAAACCAGGTAAGTTGCTAGTCATTAATAATGTTTCAAAACATACATTATATATATAACAGTACCATTATTAAAGAAGAAACAAATTAATACTGTTTAACCCTGTAAGAATGAAGTTCATCAACTTGAAAAACTTGGAAGTGTAAAAATATATACACTGTAACTCTGAATTTACTGTGTGTATTTTCATAAAATTTGGCATCTTTTAGTAAAGGTTACAAGTCTATTCCAAAAAACAAAAACAATGATTTTTTAATAAAGTATTTCTACTAAAAATCTGTCTGTGAATTTCTGAAGCTTTTACTGATTTAGCCTAAGTGAAATGTAATTTTCATGCTTAGAATAAAAATACTTCATCTTAAAGTTTTAATATTTTGCTTGCATACCCTCCATGATATTTTTTCCCTACTGACTGCAGTATTGATCAGAAAGTTCCAAATTACTTAACAGTTTCTACTATTAACCTTTTGCAAATCTATTTTATTTTAATTTTATTGTCATATTTTATATCATTGGAGCAATAATCCTTGTGTAAAAAGCAATAACTCACAGCGAAAACCCATAGAGCTGATGTATAAAGCACAAGATCTAGTGCCATATTTCCCACCAGGGTTCAAAGCTAGTATAATTTTAGTTTTGTTTTAGTGAAGTTTTGTTAGGCTATGCTGAGAACTTATTTTTACATTTTTGTTACTTTTGTTAAAAAAACACATCACAATAAATAAAAAATACATGTAAAAAAAAAGGATTTTTAGTACTCAACTGACACCTCAGACAATTTGAGATGTTATACCAAACTTGATCAACACAAACTAAGGAATTCTCAATGGATGAAGGATAATGGCAGGAAAACCAAATGCAGGTTTGAAACATTTCCATAGAGAAGAATCTTCTCTTTCTACTGGTTATAAACATGTCCATCAGCCATATAAAGTTAATTAGAAAAATCTTAAAAATAAGAAACATAGGGGTGGGGAGGGCTTCTCTGGTATGTTTGACAAATTTATTAACATCTCAGCAAATAAAGAAGGTAGAAGGTTCACACTTTAGATTCTTGCTAGTAATTATGTATAGTTTGCATTTCTAATTGGAAACTGCAGCAGCCATCTTAGATGTTATAGAATTCTGAAGTGGAGAAATTACAGCTCAGACACATCACAGAAAAATGAAGTTTCTTTTTCAACTCAAAAGCTAAATCTTAGATCAAGGATCACACTGTGGTATGCATACCACTGGTGGTACATGGAGCAAATGTCGGTGGTATGCGAAAAATTAATGTAAAAAATTACAAAATTTGTTATAAGCTCAAATTGAGCTTCGAGAGTACATATACAAATTTCCTGACTTCATTTCTAGACTCGTCCTTTGTAGGCATAGACTCGCTAGTGCATTCTTCCCTTCAAATTGACATAAATCACACCAGATATTTTTAGTTATGCCAGAAAAAACAGCCACATATATTTTTCGATTTGTTTTAATTAGGCCCAAGTTTATACTTCAAAAAAGTTTAAACAAAAAGTGGTACACAAGCCTGAAAAGTTTGAGAATCACTGTCTTAGATGATATAAGAATTTAATCATAAACTATACTTTCATGACAGATTTATTGACATATATTGATAAAAAAGTTGATTAATTCAATTTTGAATGTACCATTGTAAAAGACCATGAGATGCACAATTTGACCCTGTTGTATAGAAAGAGTTTAAAAGCTATTGTGTAGAATAATATCATTAAAAACAGACAATGATGTTCCAGCATTTTTCACTGAAATTTTATTTGCATATTAAAAACAAATTCACTTGTACATTCTACAATCATACTTACTTCAAGTTTCTTTAGCTCCAAAAGGTATTTTTTCTCATTGTCCCACAAAACTTTCAATTTAGTTGCTAGTTCTTTGAGGAAGTTGCACACATTTTCAGCTGTCTTGGCCATTCTTAACTCAGTAACGTAAGCAGCATGTGTTGGAAATCCAAGGAGATCAGCTTGCTGAAAGAATAAAATAAAATAACAATACTTTGAGGACAGCTACCACAAAACTTTTATTATAACATAACGTTTTGGGACAACATGGGACCAAATGGTCCATCTCAGCTGTTCCATCCTTTAAACTAAATTAAAATGAATAAAAATAATAATCATAAATAAATAAAAATCTTAGCGCCAGCCCTTTTCATTCATATACTTATCAAGCTTTTTCTTAAACTCACTTAAATTTATTGCCTCTACAACATCTGAAGGCAACCCATTCCAAAGGCCAGCCACTCTGTTAAAAAATGAAACTGTCTTAGCTGAAGATGACTCCTACCTTACCAAAATTTATATTTTTGGCCCCTGGTCCTACTATTCTCATTGTTAAATAAACAAAAAAAAAGATGATACATCAACACTATCAATTCCCTTTACAATCTTAAACACCTCAATCAGATCCCTTCTAACTCTTCTTTTTTCAAGAGAAAACAATTTGAGAGATTTCAACCTCCCCTAGTATGACAACCCCTCCATCCTAGGCACCATTCTCGTAACCCTTCTCTGAACCCTTTCCAACAATTCAATGTCTTTCCT